CGACGATCAAACTCAACACGCCAGGTGTGATAACCGTTGTTAGACACCCCAACGGGGCTCCCGATACCCCCAGGCTCGTTGCAGATACCGCCGGGGTCTTTCTGGCAATGAACAGTGCCATGCCCAATCGCCTGGCCATTTATTTGCTCCATGAGATCGATCTCTCCGCACGCGGGCCAGCTGCCGCCGGTCCTTAGAGAGTTCCCCAGCATCCACCAGGCCGGCCACATGCCCTTCTTTGCGCCCTGGTCGTTGGAGCCGAATCGCAGAGCGGCTTCTACGCGGGTGATCTTGCCGACCGTGGGGGTGAAGACGTACTTGCTCTCGATGCGGCCGGATGTCCATCCACCACGGGTGCTACCGTCCCGCAGGGGCACAATATGAAGAGAGTTGGCGCCGCTGAGCTGGACGTTGCGCGGACTGGCAGAGTAAGTCTCCAGTTCGCCGTTTACACCGAGGTTGCCGGTGATGATGTTCCAGTTGCGTGTGTTGGGGGAAGTTCCTCGTGCGCCGGAGAAGTCGTCTTGCCAGCGGAGGCTGAAGCCAGGATAGCCAGGGGCACCGGCTTGAACCGAGGTCGCAAAGGCCAGTAGTACACTGGATAGGATATGGTGGTTGACCATGGTGATGAAGGGTTGGTTTTTCTGTTTGTTTTTTTGCTTGGGCTGTGGAGACGACGTCAAGCCGGACAAGGAGTGTAATAGGGGCTGGCGAGAAGCAGCACAAGTTCGAAGGAGGGTGATACACACAGACAAAGACTTTCTATAAGCTTGAGCCTTGAGGGAATGAAACCATAAAAGATGCGAATGAGAGAGAACTGGTGATGGTCTGTCCAGTGATGGGGGCATGATCAACTTATTATATACTCGGGAGCTCAAGACTCAAAGACGACAGTAGCACCAAGCTATCCGCCCAAGTGCCATGGTATCAGATGGAAAATGTTGGAGAAATCGGCCAAGTGTCCCCATAGTACCAGATACTAGGCTTGACAAAGCCAAGGGCCCAAGATACCACAACTTACAAGAAGACAAGGGGGAGGGGTGGCATACCTGGGTTGTGTGAGGAGGGCATACAACATCCATCTCAAGTGACCACGACAAGTCAGCCTGGACTGCCATGGGACAGAAAGACCATGAACAGCACTAGTCTAGCACCAAGGCGGGAAGGAAGATATGGAGACGCCCAACAGAGCCGCTGACACCTGATTGAGAGAGCACCCTATATGTACATGGGAAGAAGACGAAAGTCCGGCGAGGGAAGGGTGCTTCGCGGAGTCACTCACGGTTGGTGCAGGGGGAATAGCCGGTGCGGAATGAAAAAGACATGAAACTTCAGAATCTACGGAGTACGTACATACATAGCAGTAATATCCGACTGGGACGATCGCACAGACAGTCAGTAGTTGGTGGTGCAGCAGCAGAAAGAGGAAAGGCTTCCATGTGTCGCGCGAAAGGCTTAAACTGTCATATCAATATGTATCGATGCGGGAAGGAGACCGGTTTGACGCTACCCGTCCCCTCCCTCCCCCCCGAGCACCAACGCGTCACGGGCTTCATAGTCTTCAATGTGTATCTGCATCCTTGTTCCAGAATGACCCGTCCTCTACCCGTCCGCGACGGGACGGGGAGGAATGACACGCAGAGATTCTAAATCAAGACTCTCGAGTCGTCGCTGGATGATAATACTGAAAACGGTCTGACGGATCGATGCCGTTCTCCGTCCTCGAGGGGAGTCGAGACTCAACGGGCCGAATTACAAACACACGGTACGGAGTACACGTGGCTGGCATTATTGCAAAAAAAAAAGAACCACCAAGATGACTAGTTTCCTTAGGTCCTCTTCGGCGGATTTGTCGTCTGGGGAAAGGAAAGAGAGGATGGGGAGAGGATGGAGAGAGGAAACCGAGGGATCGGACGTCAGTACAGGAGCAGCCTAGTGCAGGAACGGATTAGTTAGGTGAAAGAAGAAGGGGGGGGCGCTTCCCGGTCTGTTCTTATTTTGGTCCCCTTTTTTTTCCATTCTTTGTCAAATTGCCTAAAGGATTTCCATCAGGATTCAAAACATCAGGAGAGACGCCCAGCGCCAATGGGTTGGTTTGATTAGACAAGAATTGCGCTTGCTCAGTAGCATTCAAACTGTGGTACATATTGGTAGGTGCTCCTATTCTGTGTGTGAACCCTCCCCCCCCCCCCCCTGCTTTTCGGCCCGCTGCTTGTTCAACCAGCATCGTCGTCGGGTTTAACAATACCTAATGCCAACCCAAACTCCAGTTGGCAAGGAAAGGAAAGGGGGGGGGGGGGAGCTTTCCTGTCTGGTTCCTGAGCATTGGAGCTGCACAGAGAAGAAGAGGGTGGCGTGGCTGGCTGCAGCTAGTATGTATCCTGAGATCCCACGATCGAGGGCAAACGGCAGAAACCTCCCTGGCAGAATTGCCCGTCTTGGCTTGCCGCCCGCAGATGGGTTTCGTTACGTTCTCTTCCTGGCCGGCCGGCAAGGGCAATCAATACCCATGTACATAGGTAAGCCAACAAGAAAGTTGGCCGTCCAAGCGCCAAGATGGCAAGATGGAAGCGAAGAATGTGTGAAGATGGGAGAAACTGATGAAGATGCAGGTAGGTAGGGTAGATGAAACACCATCAATCACCACCGACATCAAGCATGAAGCAAAAAGCCCAAAGGCAGCCACAAGCAAGTTTCAAGCCATGCAACCGAAAAGTGAGACATCACATCTACAATCACGGGCGTGGCGTCCCCCCCTGGATCAAGAATAGGAAGGAGAAATGTAAAAAGGCCACCTAAAAAGGCCACCAAAAAAAAAAGAGTATGTAACAAGACCAACAGAGTCAGTCATGTGCGTTCGGCCCAGAGCCTACCGGTACCTATGTCGAAGAAGTCGGGCGCGTGAATCCTCCAGATCTGAGCCCCCTGCACCCTTCAAAGAAATCTGTTGGCCGCGCGTTGCGCGTCACGATGCTCATGCAATATATCGAGACGGCCATCAACTGGATAATGGTGTGCCTTTTGCAACAAAAAGGCTACATACAGAGTAGCTAGAGGTAGACAACATGACCCCAGACCCCAGACCCCAGAGTCTCAGGACCCGCCCCGGCGAAGGGTTGAGGGAACACCCGACCGAAAAGGCGTCTGTCGGCTTACGGCTTAACTATGGTTCGTGGCACAACGATGGAAATGGGAGATGGGAGATGGGAGATGGGAATTGGGAATTGGGAATTGGGAATTGGGAATTGGGAATTGGCAGAATCCTTCGCGTACCTAATCCGTACCTATTTGCTGCGGCTTGCATAAAAGGAAATCTTAAATTCCTTCTTGCGACAGCAATCGGCCCTGTCGTCAGTTGATAAACTCGTGACCACTGACGACACAGACTCCCTTCGACAGATGGGATTTCAATTCTTCCTATCCATCCTCTCTTGACTCGTCTGGATCTTATTCGGGTTCGACTGACTCTGGGACCTCCGGAGAAAGGTGGGGGGGCGGCGATCGGGCGGCGGCAGGCGACGGGTCAAAACGCGAACTAGAATCCAATAGAAGCAAGATTGCGCACGTGACTGCAGTCTTCTCCCGGTTCGATCTCGGGAGGTTTCCTTTGTTCCATTTCCCCGCGCTCCAGCAGGGGACTGCTGATCTGCCAAGCCGTCGGAAAAAAGGCAAGAAGAAAATATGGTTCTGTATACCTAGACAGGAAGGACATCTGAGATACAACTACGGATATATGCAGGTGTCCATGTCCATGCGGCTGGATACAATATGTTTGTGGAAATTTGCCTCTGAAACCACCTCGCGAGAATGCATTCGGCGTGGCCTGCCATTGATTTCGTTTCGTGTCTTGTCATTTTGATAAGTATCTAGTTTCCTGATACATATACATATGTAGGTATGTATGTATTCGAGTTTTCTGGAGTCCAAATCTCTCATCTCTCATCTCTCATCATGCCGCAAAGGCTGAAACCGTGAGAAGTCCCAATTTCTTGGAGTATTGCAATTCTTGGGGCTGCTTCCTATAACTATGTGATCTTGAGCCCAACCAAGGCAGCTTGCATCGTTTATCAAAACAAAGTCAGCCCTCCCAACTTCCCGCACGCCCACAGCAACGCCTACAGCAACGCCCAAACCCGCCCAGACAGTCCTTATCCAGACGCCATTCATGATTGATCATGGATCTTGGGACCACCCCCCTCGCCTCAAACAAGCCAAGTGTTCCATCTTCTCGGCGAGAAGCATCAGACCTTGTATGCAAGTCTGGGGCATGATGTGAGCATTGAGCAAGGCATAAATCGGTAAATATGTCATCATTTGTGGGGCCACATGTCCCTCACCCTAAACAATATAATAGATGTGAAACGAGCTCTCACGTAATTCATGGGCTGGCGATGGATGCGTCTTATCACACAAAAGAATGGGCGCAGCCGTCTGGCCACTCTAATGTGCGGTATATACCCCATATATACGGATGTACCCTGCGACACGTCTGCCCGTCTGCCCGTCTGCACGTCTGCCCTCATGGACCGTCAGCTTGGAAATAACATCGGTTAGATCGTAAAGCCCGGATCCCGATGGGCCACGTTGCCTGGGCAGTAACACCGACCTGCGCCGGCTTGCGGCTCCAGTTCCGGCAAAGTACGTACATACATACATACATACATACATACAAACTTGCAAGTTGCTCGTTATCGCTATGTACTACATAGCTAGGTATGTAGTAGCCAGATGCAGGCCTGACTCGTCTAACGTCCATGTCTTTCTTACCAACGAGTCGAGGAAAACGCGGCAAGAAGAAGTCACCTCTACAAAGTCATGTAGCACATTTTCGCCTCTGTTTCAAGTTACAGTGATGAAAAGTATGATGAATGCGCAATTCCACGGGACATATACACACAGTCTCGTCATCTTAACAGAGCCGGCGAAGAGAAAAAGTGAAAGCAACGGCAAAAAGAAATCACTGGCAAAAATAAGGCATTGTTTGTGACCACGAAAATAAATGGACAGACGGGGAATCGAACCCCGGACCACTCCCAGACGCGATGCTAAGGGAGTATTATACCACTAAACCATCCGCCCAATTGATTCGTTGGAATGTCGTTCCCTATTTGGTAATAGATAGTCTTGTCATTTCTGCTTGAGAGTGAAGCAAGCAACGCAAATCCATGTTGATTGGGTCCCGCGCTCCATTGTATTTTTACAGGCCTGAAGCTCCGAATGTTTGAAATCGCGTTGCTGTTCATTGCCTCCATCCATCATAAAGTTCGCAGGCTGTCGCACGCCACATTGACGCGGCGCCGTGGTTGCCGCTGGCTGCCGATCCTGCTGCCGGTATTCATTGGTAGAGAGGTCCGAAACATAGAAACGCGATCTTGAGTCATCGTCACCGTCTCGTCTCCGTCTCGTGCCCGTCTCGTGCCCGTCTCGTGCCTGTTCGCGGCCATGTCTGAAGACGACACCGAACTCGGCCTCGATGGTCAATCAGCCTCTCGTATCGATCGCGATCGCCGGGCTCCGCGCTTCAGCTGGACTCCCGCATACGAGACGACTTTTTTCCGCAGCCTCTGCGCCAGTGTCCAGCTCGGGTTGCGCGAGAACAGCAGCTTCAAGACCGAGGCCTGGGAGCGCGCCGCGAAGGCCCTGGAAGAGTGTCACTCCGCGTTTCCTACAAAAAGCCACCTCATCAACAAGAGCGACAATGCGCGAAAACGATTCCGGCTCTGGCGTGGTCTGCGCGAGGACCCAGACTTTGCATACAATTCTGCCACTAAGACGGTGACTGCATCGGAAGCTGCCTGGAAGGCGCATATAGAGGTGAGTGAGAGCAGCGTTGCCGTGAACGTGTCCTGTAGGGGTTGAGAACATGACACGCAAGAGAGTGAATAGGTCCCAAAGACAGGGAAAAGAAGAAGAAATGAGTCTGGAACCAAAGCTAGAGGATGCTGACGCCGATACACAGAAAGAGCCACTTTCGAGAGCCCTCCGGGGTCGTCCATTTGATCACGAAGAATACATGGAGATACTGTATCCCGATGTGGTTGGGTCGGGTGGTGCCCCAAAACGGGTCAAGAGAAGGCGGAGGAGGACCGAAGGAATGGCGAGGGACGATTCGGAGATGCCAGAACCTGACGTCTTGCAATTACAAACCGAGCATGCGACTAGCCAGAACAGCCCCCGTCTCATGCGATCGTCATCCGGTCTGAGGCAGGCCACCTTGAACAAAACCGCAGGACTACGCCTCATGCCGACGACTACGGCACTTGCACGTCGAGCTGCACCATCTTCGGATAAGAGGCAACGCATCTCCACTGCTGGTGACTCGGTCGCCCGGATTTCCGCATCCTCGAGCAATATACTCTCCGACACGGTAATGACCCGCGCGCCCACCTGGTGCGAGTTGGCACTGGAGCAGTTCTTCAGTGACTTTGCGGATGAGAGCATGGAGCTGCAGATCAAGATTGCTGAGAATGTCTTGATTCACGAGAACAAGGCGTTGATTTTCTGCAAGATGCCCCGGCGTCTTCGGGAGCACTGGGTAAAGGAGCTCGACGAAGGATTCCAACAAAACTCGCCATGATTACCCCTACTTCAGTTCCACTAGAAGACCTACAGCAATGGGGCTTTCCCCATGTCGTGCTTTATCGGTTCTTCCTGTTCAAGGAGGCGACGCATTGATCAACGGATTGGCAAGCTCCCACGTGGGGGGTACGATGCCCTCAATTACAGACGAGTGATATAGAATTCGTGATACCCGCACCTTTGGCGTTGTTAATATGGGAGTTTGACGATTGCTGTTTTCAAGGAGGATCGTGTCTTTTTTTTATTCATCTCTATAGCTACATAATCCCCTCTCCTCTGCCTCTTGCATGAGCTAGACATGTGTCGTGTACATATTGATTCAGCGCACACTTTTTCAATTCCAATCTACTGGATAGCGTTGGAATTCAATGAATGAAGAAGTGAAAAGAGAGAAAGTAAAGAAAGCTGTGACGATGAATTGTTTGGGTTCTTTGGCACGTGTCGGCCGTTGATGTTGTTGTTGTTGATGTTGTTGAGTATTTTACGCCCCTGCGTCCCGGTTTTGGGCATAATAGGGCGTGCAGGGCTAATCCCGGGTTCTTCTAAATACAAGCCAGTTTCCCCAAAG